ATAGGATGTTTAATAAATGCATTGCATTTTTGATCTTGAAGAGAAGAGGGAAGAAATTCCATCATTATCTTTCTGTGTGGCTTAGCTTCTCTCAGACTCAGCATTTGAGCCAGGAAATGGACCCTGTGCCTCGCAGCAGTGCTGATGACAAGGACCCCTGTGCAGCAGCGACAGTTTTGTAACTGGTGCCTTTAAAAGGGGTGCTCATTGCTGCTCGGAGGGAGGGCAAAGGCCTCAATATTACCCTGTCTTTTCCAGAGAGCAGAGGGGTTTGGAGGCCAAGACCCATGTGGCAACCACTCTGGAAGCAGCACAAAGGGCAACAGGGTACAAGTGTGTCCCTTTCTTGCCTCATTTCTGTCTTTTGGGGCCTGTAACAGCCCTTGAGTATCATGCTGTCTTTTTCTCCAAGGCTCTCTGTAACCCACTGCAGATTGGGATCTAATGGAGGACTGGATGCTGACCCCTTAGGGATCCAGGTAGCTGGGTTATATGTGTCTCCTCCTTCCCCCCTTTCTGGTAACCCTCAGATAACTGGCAGGTAGGTCATGCCCGAAACAGGAGGTCTGCAGAGCACTGCTTGAGGCCATCCCGGGAGGTGTCCAGACTCCAGACACTCATGAAACAGGGCTCTGTTCGCCCTCAAGCTTTGGCCATCACTATGGCACCAAGCAGCTCTTGTCAAGGCACCAGGACCCTGCACTGCTAAGATCAATGATGAGCCCCCAGTGCTTGCCTTACTTGTCTCCTCAGCAGCACTGCCCTTGCCTGTCCCACCTTCTCTCTGCCATGCCTGTCTAGTCCCCTCTGCTGGTCTTCCGCACACCCCAGCCGCCAAACATCGACGGGCCCAGATTCTTAGACCCCACCCCATTTCTCTCTACACCACTCCCCAAGTGGTCTCATCCAGGCAAAAGGTTTAAATACCTTCTACATGTTGTTGACTCCTCAAAATATAATTTGTCCCTGACCTCAGATGAATTTCCAGTTGCCTACTCACCACCTGCATATGGATGTCACACAGGCATTTCAAACGTCAAGGTGCAAGATGGTTTCCCTGATACGCCCGCTCTGACACCTACTCCTCTCACAGTCTCCCCTGTATCAGTAAATGAGGATTCCACGCTCACTGCTATTTAGGGAAATCACCTGGCAAACTCCCTGATTTTTCTCTCTCTCCCACAACACATAGCAAATGATGTCATTTGGGAGCCTGACTGTATCACCTCATTGTTACCAGGACAAAGTGCAACCATCTCTTGAGGCAGGAGCCTCCTCCTGGCTCCCTGCTCTGCCCTCGCCCACCTCTCTTCCATTCTGCAGGTGGCAGCCAGGGAGCTCCTCGTAAATATGGGTCAAGTCCTGTCACTTCTCAGCTCAAAACCTCCAGTGACTTCCCAGCTCACTCCTAGTAAAAGTCCAAGTTTTTACAGCGACCACGATCTACATCCTGGTCACCGTAGACCTCATCGCCCACCTCTCCCCTCTTACTCCTCTCCTCACATTAGCCTCCTTTCTGTTCCTGACATGTCAGCCATGCTCCTACTTTGAGGCCTTTCCATCAGCTGCCTGATATCTATATGATTTATTTCCTTACCGCCTTCATGTCGTTATTCAAATGCCACCTTCTCGGTGAGGTATTCCTGGCACCCCACCTAAACTACAGTCTCCCAGCACTTCTGTTCCCCTCCTGCTGTTTCACCTTTCTCCATGGCACTTACCACTCTCTGACACACCATTGAACTTACTGTCTGTCCCCCAAATAGGAGGTAGGATCTATGAGGACAGGGATTTTTGACTAGTTTGCTCATTGCTATCTCCCCTGCACCCGAAGCAGTGCCTAGCACAGGGTAGACTTTAATTGGTGGATGGATGGGTGCAAGCATAAACTGGAATATACTTTTGTATGTAATTTACCAGCCACATCATTTACTCTAATTAGAGAAGTACTTCCTAACTATGCTCCTTCTCTGTCTTCCCAACTACTGCTCTTTATATTCCCTCAGTGGTGTTTGTAACTTTTTCTAGGAAAATGAATGATTGGACTCCCACAGGGTAAGCTCACCTACCATATAATATGGTTTCGCTGCACCATCCTGCCTTGCAGCCACCTCTCTCTCACCAATGTCCTACTCCACGGGCATCTCGTAAGTGCCAACCCGCCTTCTGCACAGGGGAAAGCAGAATTTGCCAGAGTCTTTTTTCTTAAAAGACTACTTAGTTTTTGAGCTGAAAAGAACTGGCTGATATCCTATATGGTAATCTTTTAGCAATTTCAAAGGCTAAGATTACTTTAATTGAAATACACATATAATTTATAGCAGCATTTCTCCCCTTGTGTTTGTTTTCAAGGGCAAACTATGAAGTTCTGAGGACAAGAATACAGTTTCTGAGCCATAGGCTTGCCTTTTCTGCAAGTCTATTAGGTTGCCAATTCTCTAATAATTTAATCACATCAACTGCTTTTATTGGACTTCCCCAATAGACACAGTCCTTTGGACTGGTTTCCTGGCTCCATCACTATTTCTCTCACATTCATTCCATTGCATGGGTCTATTTTACTTTATATCTTGCTTTTTATATACTCAGTCCCTTGCCTTGCCCCTGTAGAACTGTTCTACCACCCTTTTCTCAACTGAAGGTGGTGGCTCCCATTCTACTCTCCTAGGATAAGGCTGGCTGAGGACAAGAAGCGGTCACCAAAGGCTCCTTGAGCCACCAAGAAAGAGTACAGGGTGGGAGGAAGAGCAGTCTCCAGAGTCTGATTTCATCCATATTTGGACTTCTGAAAACCTTGGCAGAGGTTCTGTCCGCTGGATTAGGCAGTTCATCATATTCATACGAGCTCATCATACTCATCCCAAAGCTTGGCCAAAAATGTGGTGGACAGGCCTTGTCCATGTGATCTGCTCCAGCAGCAAAGAATTCTCCATGCTGGGAGTTCCTTGGAATTTATTCATTTAATGGTCAGGACAGGGAACAGCACACGTCTCCTTGGAAGCTCTTGCTTTAGGCAGAGAACAGAATACTACGTTTGTCTGTGCATGGCAACTGAACTGCTCAGTAAGTAGTAGATGCCCCACTTTTTTAATATGCTAAGAAACTTGCTAATCAGCATTAATTATGACCCAGGACTCCACCCTGACTTAGGATGGAGAGAGGGGCCAAGATGCCAGTTTCTGTGTTTCAGAGGTAAGCTTCTCTGTGGTATTTATTTACCATACCACCCCATGCCACAAACCAATTAACTGCTCCACAGTTCCATCAGAGTATAATAGAACCTGCCAAGCATTTTCCCAGAAAGACCCTCAGTGGCATCATTGCTCACTGTTATAATCCACTGAAGGCCTTGTCTTGAACGTGCCAAATGACTTAGTAGAGCATGAAGGCTCCTTAGGTTATTAAGTTATGTCATTACCAGTCCCTGTTGTTGGTGTGTTTTAATTTTATATTTGCCCCGTGAGCAGTTATCAGAAAGGGAGCAGCTGGTGAAGGGAGCAGATTCTGTTCTCTGTTGACATCTTTGGCTGTCTTCTTCCCCACTTCCTCCACCTGATCCTTCTCTAGATTCCCAGTCAGAACTCGGGCACTAGTGAGTAGAAACACACAGCAATCAGTCTGAAGTTTGAACACATGGACATAACTCATACCTATTCACAAGGCCGAGAAACTAGCCTCACTGCATTTACATATATGTGCTAGGACATATGTTCACACGTGCCTGCACACACAGAGCTGTCAAAGCTGATGGGAAGGCCGTACTTTCTCTGGGTCAGCTCTCCTGGCAGTCCTGTGCCTTCCTGGCTTCCTTAAGGAGAGAGGCATTTGCTCAGCCCAACTTACCTCCATCAGTCTCTCTGAGCCTCAGTCTTGTCATCTCCCTCCCACTCAGGGAACATTTCTACTTCCCACCCTTACCTGCCTGTCTCCATACAGCAAACATCATGGTTGGTTGGCTATTTAACCTGCCTGGTTCCTGACTACCCTAGATGCTCAAGGTTCAGGAACATGTTTTCAAGTTATGCTGCTTGAAGACAGAAGCGCACCTATTCAAACATGTGAAATGAAAGGGAAAGACTGCACACAGGAGGAGGAGGAACGTGTGTGGTCGGCACAGAGACTGAGGGCCAACAAAACAGGGAGAGTAGTTAGAGCTAACCCAGTTGTTCTCAAATTTACCCGGCAACGGCCTGTGCGCTGTTCAAACTGACTGCTGGGCTCCACGCAAGTCTCTGAGCCAGGAGAGGCGAAGTGCAGCCCAAGAGTTTGCATTTCGAGCAAGGTCTCAGCTGCTGCTGGCGCTTCTGGTCCAGGGACCACACTTTGAGAACTACTGGGCTTATCTGAGGAGAGCCTGAATACCCATGATTCACCATCATTCCTACATTTGGAAGTCAGTATCATTTATCATTCTCATTTCTATCTCAGCAATAGCCTAGCCAACAGTCTGCCCGTGCAACTCCAGACGAAGGGATTTGGCTCAGTTTCTATAACCGAACTGTCAAATGCCTCTGGGCTTCCTTGGTCTTCCCATTTAGTACTTTGGATCTAACCTCATTAAGAGAAACCTTTGGCTCCTTTTCCTATGAGAAAGCACAATGGTGCCTGGAAGTCTGCTGCAAAGGGGGTGAGATTCCTGCTTTCCAGGGAGCTGCTTGGTGGAAATTATTCTTTCGAACAAGTCTGGAGCAGGCAGCCTGTCCCTCTGCCCACAGAGATGGAGCCCGCAGAAGGATGCCTGATTTAAAAGTGAAGAGTGCACCTTAGCAAACTCTCAACTGTCTTTAAGATCAAAGATTCTAAAAGGAATATGAGACTTTATAGATCAACAGCAATTATTTCATTAACTTTTATGAGTAGCAAATGATTGCAATCAATGAGACCAACGCTGTTCCAGGAAGACAACTGTAAAGAAAGGCTGGTGGTTAAAGGTTTCTGCTGTCCTCGCACCACCTCTTCCCTCTCCCCAAACCCAGCCAAGACAGAGGATGGCTGCTCACTGTTTCGGGGTTTCTCCTCATCCATGCCTTCATCTTCATTCTCGGGGTCGATGTCTTCCGCCTGTGTGATCCAGTCCAGATAGCCTTTCAGGTCCTCTTCCAGCTGTTGCTTCTCTCGCAGCTTTTGGAAATCTCCCCGAGCCTTGGCCTTCTCCCTCTCTTTGGAGAACTCTCTGGAGAGAGAGTGGAGTGGGCAGGGCAGGGGAGCACATGAAAGGAAGGAGAGGGTGGGGCATGAAGGAGAGATGGAGACAAGGGGAAACAAAAGTGTGAATGGCTTTGCACTGGGAAGCCCACCCACATGCCCTGACTTCCACAGACATCTTTCTCTAGTCATCCCAGGTTTGGTTTTACTCTCACAGAAATGGAAGGAGTCACTGAAGGGGAGGGATAAAATCCATTTCCCTTTTTCCTGGATCATGATTACAGGCTTTCCTTCAATACAACTGTTCTCCAATGACCTGGAAACTCCTTTCGAACAGTAACCAAAAAACCTCCACAACAGTATGGAACATGCATTTGCATTTCCCCAGTAATGGGTGGCAGGAGAAAAATCTCAAGATCCTCTGGGTGACAAAAGGTGTTAAGGGCAGCTGTGTGCTGAAGCCCACTCAACTGCAGTGGCTCCTGAGAGCCACCTGTGTACAGCTCTTCCCAACTCTGGCTTTAGTGAGGTCTCTGTGGTGGCTTGAAATTGGCCATGGTGGGAATATTTACACCATGGAAATTGGCAAATGTTATAAACCAGGGCTTTCTCCTCCAAAGAGCCAATTGTTAAATATTTACCAGTACTCCACTGATTTGAGATCCAGGGGATTGAGTACCCTCCTTCTCTGTCCTCATGAGTAGGGTTCATCCTGCCACTCATAGCTGCCTGGAAGGATTTCTAATCTAGAGAAAGTTCTTTCCCACAAGGGAACAATGAGGATTCCAAACACAAGAAAATGTCCTGGGGGCTGCCTTTTAGGTTAAAAAAGAAATCTAATCAGAATGGGAAACTACATAAAATCAAGATGATATAAAAGTTAAATGATGCATTCAGTTTAAAGTAATAATGAGTAGAAATTGGAATTGAATTGGGGTTTGCCGAAAAAAGGGCCTATTGAAAAATTTGACAGAATGGCTATTTCTTTCCTATTTTCTATGGTTCTGTCCTTATTTTCTGACTTTAAATTCCTTTTCTTAGCTAGGCAGGGCTGGCAGCAGAAGGCAGTGACCAAGGCTAGTTCTTAACGTGCCAAACAAGTCCATGCCTTTCCTTCTCAAATCATACACAGGAGCATTCCTGTGTTTGATACTCAGTCTATGGAAAATGGGGCCCTCAGTGGTGTGTGTGTGTGTGTGTGTGTGTATGTGATGCACTGGGCATCTTGTTTAATTCTTAGAAACATGATTCCTCCATCTCTCACCAGTAAAAGTGTAATTTAGGGCAGGAGGCTGCAGAAGCCACCTTGAAAAAATTTCTTGCCTAAGCCAAACACTCTACAGGAAGGGTACCTGGGAAGGAAGGACACACTGACAAACCGTAGGGGCCAGGCTCAGCACCTGAATCCACTCAGTGATATTGGCTGGCTCTCTCACCACACCGTCTAGTATTTGCATTTTGCTAGTGCTGCTTAGGAGAGATTTTAGTGCTCACCATTTTTATGGTGAAATGGGTTGGGGCTGGGACTGGCCTAGGGAACTTTTTAATTGGGAGATGTGAGGGTTCCCAAGCTAACGAGTTCTCTTCAACTGCTGCCTTAATGACGCTCTGGTTTGGATGGAATTTTCTTCTTAAATTCGATTGAATCCAATTCTAATTGGATTGAACTTGCTTTTTCTCGGGCTTCCTGCCAACTGGCGGTGCCTTCATTTCCTTCCCAGGGAATTTAATGCCAGAGAAAAGGGGCCATATTCACAGCTTGCAGTGAAGGTGGAAGCCTCACTCTGTTTTGCCCCTCCCTCCTTTTGTTATTGGGTTGGGCATGGAAAGATGCCAGCCATCTGCCCCCCAAACCTCTACACCTGGTCACACAGCCCAAGGCCATAGGCTTGCTCTCTGGAGACAGTCACTTTACATAGAGGTTCCCTCTCCATGCAAAGGAATCAACTCCAAAACTACACTTCAAGGCCCCCTCTCGACTCTCTTTCTAGCCACATGCATCTGCATTCTCCATCCCTCTCCTGGGGAGTGGGTTTGGGTTGTAAGGTGACTGAATAACTGAGGGTCTACTTTGGCTCTTTTGGAATATTTTGCAGAGGGCTCAAGTTCTAGTTATAAAACAACTACTCATCCTTCTTCTGGAGTTGGGAGTATAGGCCTGGGGTCAAACTGGAGTAGGGAAAACTGACCCAGTACTGTTACAGATCTGCCCTGTGGAATAAAAACTCACCATCTGTATCCCAAGACCTATGGGGCCCAAAGTAAACAACCACTGGGAGGGAAAAAACAAACACTGAAGTGTGTTGGGGGCATGAGGGGGATGAAAAAGCGGCAGGGTCAGATCTGAAGCCTGTGGCTTCCCTTGGCTCTCAGGGAGCATGGGGAACAATCACACTGAGGCCAAGTGGAAGAAGAGCCAGGTTTCGCTGTCCAGACCCCAGCAGTAAGGAATTTTCTGGGTGGCAGTGCCTGGCTCTCTTTATCTCCTCGCCTGGATGCCAGCCAGGCACCTGCTCTGGGGACTGAGTTAATGAAGACGTGAAGCCCCAGCCTGTTGGGCTGTGCTGGGCCCAGGGACCAAGCTGGCTAGACAGTCAGTCACAGCTGTGGGATTTGTCATAGGAAGAAGCACATCTCTGGCCAGCAAGGGCCAACATGAAAAATGAGGGTGGAGAGCCAGAGGACCAGTTCTCACTAATGTAAAGCGTGCAAAGGGAGGTACATGCGGAAAATCCAATCAATACAGGAGGCTGGTGCTCTAGGCCCTCTATAATCAATGCAGTCCAGCCTCATTATTCACAGATTCTGTATTTATGAATCTGCCTACTCGCTAAAATTTATTTGTAACCTCAAGTTAATAACTCATGTGCCTTTGAGGTCATCAGCAGACATCTGTAGGATGGCAGAAAACTGAAGTCATGACCCCAGGTGAGGTCAGACAAGGTGACGCGCTGCCTTGTTTCAGCTCTCAGACTCTGAACAAAAGTCCTTTTCGTGGTCTGTTTACTGCCACATTTTTGGCACTTTTGTGTTTTTGCTGGTGATTTTGCTGTTTACAGTGGCCCCCAAGCATAGTGCTGAAGTGCTGTCTAGTGTCCTAAGTGCAAGAAGGCTGTGATGTGCCTTATAGAGAAAATACGTGTTGGATGAGCTTTGCTCAGTCATGAGTTACAGTGCTGTTGGCCATAAGTTCAAAGATAATAAATCAACAATATGATTAAAGTGTATTTAAACAGAAACACACAAAATTCATGGTCATGAACTGATTATTTGATAAAAATGTTGTGATCAGAGACTCACAGGAACCTGGCCCTGTATTTCTCCTGGGAGCAGTGGTTCAGGATTTGATAATCAGCATTTGTGGGGACTTCACAGACTAATGGGAATCAACTGTCTACACTGCCATCTCTTCTGCTTCCACCCGCAAGGCTTTCTCTTGCTTCCTTCTGGACCTAGGTATTGTGCCATGGTCCAGTTATGCCTTCCGGTTGTAGCATGCTTACCCACCAGGCTCTCTGCTTTCTGGGGGAGAGAGACATGCCCATCTCCCAATGGGAAAGAACTGGATGCCTATCCATCTAAGAGGTTCTGGGCCTCTTGGCAACTGCAGGCACATGTCTGAAGCCCTCTGTTCACAATCACTTAAAAACAAAAAGGAACTGGATTTTTTAGAGTTCAGGGACTTACAGCTGATTACAGCTTCTGGTGCAATTTTGAGACTCTCATCGTCACTGCTGTTTTAATTCTGACAGGCTGGAGGCTGAGATTTCTGATGGGGAAAGTAAATGTAACCAGATTCATATCTGTATAATGCCAGGCCCGTGGCCTGTGAGGATCAATACATAATGGAAGCAATTTGTAAAAATCCACAAGATGTATGTTCCTTACGCTGACTCTATCCAGCCCTGTCAGGAATACAGTGTTCTGGATATGGGAGTATTCCAGAGAAAGGGCACCTAAAGGACCCTCTGAGGGCCCAAACTTCTCATTTCCACCTTTTAAATGGAAGCTTTATGGAGTGTCATCTTCCCTACCTTCATGAGCAGCAAGCTCCAAGCACAATTTCTTGATGACTGAGGGATATAATTTGAGCGTGAGTGACTGCGCTGGGCTGTAAAATATTCTTAACTGATAGCTGTAGGTTTCATGCCCCCAGTCCCAGAATGCCCCGTGCCTGCAGTGCTGCTGAGTGGGGGGCTGTTCTCTCTGAAGGATATTACGATTTCCTGAGTTGCCTGCCCCCGTGCTGAACGGCCCTGCCCTGCTGCAGCCTCCTCTGGCCACGCTGCACTTTCCTCCAGGGACCTTTCCTGCTCCCGCTGGCTGTTTCCAGGGGCCTGCCATGGACCAGGGCTGTTGCCCGCTCTCTCGCCCCTCCTCACGGCAGCGTCCACTCTTCATTTCCCTTCTTCTTGGCTGTAATTTCAGGACATAGGATTAACCAGTCAAATTGGTTGGGGGAGAGTATAACATGGAGGTCAGGAATAGAGGCTATGGCTTCACACTGCTTGGGTTTAATCCTGGATCCTCCTTTTTTCATCTGTTAGAAGTGAGGTGGGTCCTTCACATAAACCTCACTTTTCTTCTCTGTAACATGGAGCTGTGACTAGCACCTCGCTCAGAGGGTTGTGGTGAGCTCTGCATGAGCTAGTCTACCTGGTGCTCCCAGCACAGAGCCTGACACAGCGAATGCTCGTTCCTGGTCATACATCGTAGCTGCAGTGAGTTTCATGGGATGCTGAGAATTTTCTGAATGCTTCTGGAAGGTTCACTGAACCAGGAGCCTAACTGATGAAAAGGTGGGAGTTTTGCTGCACTCTTGTCCTGCCTATTGAAACTCTGACTCAAAATCCAAACTGCCACCAGCAAGTAGTCAGCCAGCAGGAGCCCGAGTCCAGGTTTTGTCACTTCATGGACTCAGGGCAGCCCATTCAGATTGGCCAGCCCTCTTGACAGATTAGAGAGGGCTCCTTACCCAGGAAGGGAGCTGCTTGCCCATGGACTCTTCTTCGTCCAGGCAGAGGGTGTGCCCAGGGGCCCAGGAAGGCTTGGGAGATGCTCTGTCAGCCATTCTGGAGCTCTGGGCAGCTGGCTGCTGCTCCGGGAAGGGTCAGGGAGCAGGTACTGGGAAGGCCTTCAGGAGACAATGTACGGACTCAATGACTTGGGTGCCGAGATCAGAAGGCCTAGTGTTCCTGTTCAAAGTCTGCGCACGATTTGAGTGTTATTACTTGCCAGGCTTTGGGCTAGTGTTTTTACACACCTCACTCACTAGGACTGAGTCAGGCCAGGACATGGTCCCCAAGTGGCTCTTCTCTCATGTCAGTAGCTGCTGACATTTGACGTCCCTGCTCTGATACCATCAGGAAGGTGACTTTTCTTGTGAGGCCAACAAGGGCTGTGGGCAGATATTCTGCTTGAGGAGGGGCGTTCACAGTCTAGTTCCACTCTCCATATCAGATTCTGGGGGATGGGGATGGGGATGGGGGGTATTTTACTTACTTAGATTTGTTTCTAAAATGGAATCATTAGTTTTTTAAAGTTTCAGAGCTCTGGCTTTTGTTACAGTTCAGCCATTCAACGTGTATCCAGTGGGCAATGATGTGAAGATGGGAGCTTTGTTCTGATATTTACCAGTAAGGTGACATCATGCAAATCACTTAACACGTCTGGGCTCACCTTCCTCATCTTCAAAAGAAAGGGTTGAAGTAGTTCTAACTTTTGATGATTCTATTCACTAATGTAAACAATAATCCTTGATGATGGCACCATTATTGAACACTTACTATATGCTAAGTATTCACATAAATGATCTTACTCTATCATCCCAACACCCTATTATCATCTTGATGTTCTTAGGTAACTAAAGTTTAAAGAGCTGAAGTTGCTCAACACCCAGCAAGTGCAGAGCTGAGATATCTAAATTTCTGTCTTTAGTGGGGGGGATGAGGCTATTTTTTTTCAATGCTTTCCTTGGTGATTTACATAGAAACACAGGGTCATTTTCTTGTGTGGGAACACAAATATGAAAACCCTTCCACCCTCCAGGCAGCTAATCAGGGGCCTGCACTGTCCTCATCATTCTTAGCCCTGAGGGAAGACACCTGTTTCCTGTGTGTTCTTACCTTGGCAGAGGCATGATGTCATCAAAGTCTCTAACAAGCCACCCACCATGGGAAAGGGTGAAGGTGGAAGCTGAATCGTTTCTTCACCCAGTCCCCAGGACTAAACCTGGTGCTCCTGCACTGCATTAGGCTATGGCAGGAGGTAGGAGTAGCCATTCCCAGTATATTACTGAGTGAAATGAAGATCACTCCTTTTGCCTATGCATTAGGAATGACTTTCCTATGACCTTCTACCGGCATTAATGTCCCTTGAGATCTAGGAAAGGCTATTCAAAGCAGCTGACCTGCCTGGAGCAGAGCAGAAATAGATTGTACCCCTCCCCTTGGAGCCAAGGCAGCGGAGCGTGTCACCCAGGAGCAGGTCACCAGGAGCATTTAGGTGTGAGGCCTTGGCAGGGCTGGTGTGGGCTTGTGAAGAAGAAAGTGGGCTGAGGAAATCCAGCGAGTCCCATGGCAAAGGCGGCCATCCCCAGGGCTCCTTGATGCCCCGCACATCTGCTGCTTTTACCACTTTTCAACTTCACCTGAAGAAAGGCCCAAATCAGGCAGGCTTTATGCGTGGAGCCAAGCAGATAAACTGAAAGGAAAATATATTGCTTTTCCTCAGTTCTCAAATAATCTGGGGCTTTAACAGCAAAGTGCCCTTTCCATTCAGACAAGGGGATGCCAAACATGGACTGCTCAGTCTTTGAATTAGAACAAAGAGAATTACATTTTTAATCTGTATTTGTTTATTTATATTTTAAATCAAATTTTTATTACCCGGGTTCTACACTGAATAAAGGCTCTCTGGAATCTTTACTGTGAGCCGGGAACACACTGGGATGGGGTCCGTGGGTCAGGCAGGGACCTAGTGCAAGACTGCTGCATATGTTGAAAGCACAGTCTATGAATCTTCCCTCCAATTGCAGCTGCCAAGCCTTCCTGGAGGCCCAGGGTGTCGCCACGCTACTCCTCAGGTAAAAGGAGAAGCAGCCTGCCTGCCTGAGCAGCTCCTTGAGGGAGGGAGAGGCCTGGATGAGCTGGCAGGAGACAGGGGGGCCTTGGTATCTCTTGGTGAAGCCTAACCAATGGATCGATCCTTGTACATTTGACCCTCTGCCCAGCCAGGCCAAGGACATTCCACTTCAAGGCTCCTGAGGTAGCCCCTTATCCCAGGTTCATCAGAGCCAGTAAAAGAATGAAGCCAGGAATAGCAGAAAGAGTAAATAAAATGGAAAAATCAAGACCTTTTTCCTTGGTCCTGCTTACCCGCTAAGGACACCGAGAACCAAGTTAAGTACAAAAAATGACCCTATGATGATTAGTGTAACAAAATAGATCCAGGGCCAGTCCCTTCCTACGGCATCATTGACCTGGAAGAACGGAATGATAGTTAGTCAGGCGCACACAGCAGTCGAGCATGGCCCAGCACCCATCGCTGGCTCCAGACACTGACCCACGCAGCGCCAGGACCCGGTCCTCTCGGTGCAAATCGGAGGCCAAACAGCCTGCCCGCCAATGGGTCAGAATTTGGGGTTGAATGGAAACCTCTTCCCCTGGTTTTCCTGGGCCTCTCAGGGTCCCATCCCTAAGGATCCTGGCGATGGACAGAGTGGAACCTGGGACCTTGCTCGGCTGCATTGTAAGGAGGACATAGAAACGGTCAGCTTACCCGCTCAACACACCGAGAACCAGATTTAGAACGAAAAAGGATCCAAAGATGACCAGACTGACAAAATACACCCAGGGTAACTCATAGCCCATAGCGTCCTGCATCTGGAAAGATGAAGGAAAGTTAGGAAAGAGAGAAAGCAGAACTGAGTCAAAGCGAGGAGGCAGGCAGAGAAGGCAGTGGAGAGAATCCGAGAGGAGACGAATGGGCCTGAACTTGGTCTCTGTCTCTGTGGATCAGGGGCCATTGCTACCCCTGTGTCATCTGTATTCAGAATACTTCCCATGACCGCGACCTGAACTGTCAGGGACGTTTGCAGGCTCTGCCTTAAGAGAGCTCTGGCTCTCTGTTGTTTTATTTTATGGAACAAACAAACAAACAAAATTCCCTAATGTTTTCTACTCACTTGTCTAAGAAAGCGGTTGCCTTGAAAAATAATTAATTCAGCAAGGAATGGTTTTAGCTCACTTGGGTTTACATGGCATTAAATCTTCGCCCCGAGCTTGGTATCGGAAGTGCCTCAGCTCTTACAGCTATAGACAGAGATCTGGAACCTTCCAGGATGTGGGGGAAGGAGACTTTCCCAAGGGGTTTGTCACCTGGACCTGAGCTGGGCCCAGCACTTAGAGGCAAAACTCTAGGGCTCCACAAACACTACAGGCCACAAGCAGGAAAGATGGGTCGTTTGGGTTTATGTATTCAGACTGTAACCACAGCCTAGATGGAAACAGTCCTTGCTTAACCTGGACACTGTGACCTATAACTAGCTGGACAATGAGACGCTGCATGAAAGGCTGCAAACCCCTCCAGGAGCTGGAGGCAGTGGTGTGCAGAGCTGGCTCCTGTGGGCTTTAGAGAGCCACCGAGCAGCTCTTCCCAGTCCCATGCTCAGTGACTCCACGATGGTAGCTTTACACTGGCCGTGGTGGACAGAAACGGGCAAGTGATACAGATCTGCCCCCTCCACCCTTGGTCCCTAACAATCGGTTGTTACACATTCACCAGCACATCACAGGTTAGCAGGCAGACATGTGAGGGTAGGTCACAGAGCAGCATTTTTATCAAAGAGGAAATTTATTCTGATTTAGTTTCTCAGATCTATTTTTTGATGCTTTCTGACTAAAGGGTTTAGTCTTATCTTCCAAAAATGAACCCCACTTTTGTCTTTGTGAATTTAGCTACAGGAATCCACATTCCTAAGTACACATGCTTCCTAAATGATTTACATGAGTGGCTCTCAGAGTGGGGCCCGTGGGCAGCAGCATCAACCTCAGCTGGATCCGGTTTGGAAATGCACACACTCAGGCCCATCCTGCAACTCTGGGGTGGGCCAGGCAACCCCATTATATCAGGCCCTACAGGGGAGTCTGATGCATGTATAAGTTTGAGAAACCCCTGCTTTACATCATTCTTTCCTTAGCTCCCAACTTCAAATACAAGGACACGGCAAATATTGTGATTTTCCATCTACCTCTGCTGTGCTGCCCAGCAGTGTTCCTCAAGTGGGGTCCAAAGACCACCAGCACCAAAACAGCAAGGAGAGGTGTGAAAAAAGCAGAGTCCCAGGCCTTCCCCCAGAACTCAGTGAGCCTCAAGACTCTGCATCTCTATCATCCAGGTGATCTAAAGCAGGCTGAGGTTCGCTGACTACAGCCAGGTGGCTGAAATGAATTCCAGGTGCACTGGGACAGTGCCACCCTCAGGCTCTGGGAAACCTAAGTATGCCGGACAAATATGTTCTGTGTGTGCTGCGCATAAAAAAGATTGACATGTACGAGTGATCTACCTAATCTGACTGGTTTAAAGTGTTACATCTCAACATATTCTTTTCAAATCTATTTATATTTATCAGGGGTCACCAAAGTTTGGTTAGAGGAATCTACCAAATGCAGTCATGGTGCAAAGTACAAAAATTATGTCAAGGGCATGGGGGTCACTTGTTAAACTGAGTCAGGGAGGAAAAGAAGGATTTCCACTTATGTCTCCTGAATCCTGTCAAATTTAATTCCCACTTCCACACACTCTGCTGTTTTTTACATAGTGCTTATCACTTTCTAACTTCTAATTTACTCATTTATTGTGGTTCATCTTCCATACTGGAATGTGAGCTCTGAGAATACAGGCAGTTTTGGTTTGTTTTGTTCACTGGTGTATTCCAAGAGTCTAGAACAATGCCTTGCACATGGTAGGTGCTCAGTAAATGTTTGTTGAGTGAATGAATGAACTTGATATGTGCTAGGCACTGTGCTATAAAGGAAGCCCGTGCTTGAAGGGAGATCAGATAAATAAAAGGCAACCACAATGCAAGGTGGTAAATGCAGTTGCCGAGGTAAGCATGCAGGGTTATAGGAGCCCAAAGGCAAGAGTGACTGTATGAGGCAGGAGAAGCAAGCAGGGCCAGGCCGGGCAGGAGTAGAGAGAGAGCTGGAGGGCATGTGATCCTGTGACAGACCGAAGACTTTCCTAGGAAGCTGGCGTTGTTAAAAATAGAGCCTACAGCTATAAAGCCATCCTGGCTCTGGGATGGAGGCTTTTCGCAGTGGCTGAGCACTAAAACATGCAACACAACAGCAGCAGTGAGGAGGGCAGGGCGAGAGGTCTGCACGTGTCAGAGCCTGGGAGCCTCCTTCAACCAGAGGTAATTATCTGAACCAAGGCTGCCATGGAGCCTAGCAAAAGTTTTCATTATCAGGAGGGGGAAAAACAAAACTGCGCCAATGTCAGCAGCGGCAGGGTTAGTGGAATGAGGTCAGGAAGGAGAAAGGCGTGGGAGCCACCGGGAGCTCATGGACCACAAGCCACGTAATGATGGCAGTGATGGTCATGGAATACTAGGGTCAGTATGTCACATTTTATTATGGCACTGTGATGTAATCCTATTTTTCTTGGCAGCAGTGTTGTTAGAGTCCCTGTTTGTTCAACAAGTATGTACCGAGTGCCTGCCATGTATAAGACATCGTGTCTGTGCCGCAGTGAGAGCCATGGGCAGGGCTGGGAACAGCCTGAGATTGGAGCAGGCATCTGGGAAGAGGCTCCCATGGAAACCCGATCCAAGGTCAGGTGAAGCCCTGAGTGTCCTTCTACCTTTCCTCTCTCAGATGAAGTCCTGCCAGTGCAGGTCAGAGCGGTCCCTTCTTCATCCTTAAGTCAGTGCTTCTTTTCTCTTTTGGGAGGCTGGGGAGGTCAGGGAAAGCTGAAGAAAGCTGGGCTCTCACCAGAGACAAGGCACACACAGCACGCTGCACACAATCTCTAGGTGCTCTGGACCCCGGGTGACTGACCAACCAGCTTGCTCTGGGCTAACCCGAGGGTAGGGGATCGAGGGGTCTGTTCTAAAGAAGTTCCCTTGCTCCGCCCAGGTTGCTGACCTCCTCGCCTACCTCAGGACAGGACAGCTGGGAGCAGGCAGTTCCAGGAGGCGATGGCGTGCTGGCCACAGCTCACCCTTATCTGATCACCCTCCGGAGCCCGGGAAGATGTTGAGTGGGAGGCAGGGCTGGTTGGCTCCTAGAAATGAAATCCCTCCTGACTGCTTCCTCTTACCCACTAAATTTTGTGAATACTTAACCTCACAGAAAATGCCATCCTCCAGGCCCCAAAGCCCTGACCAGAAAATACACCCATGAGCCTTGGAGATTCCCTTGGGCCCTAGTTTAGGTTGGGTGTCCTGTCCTCTGTGTCCTACACACGGTGAGTGTCTTCCAGCATCATGAAGACCCTCAGATGAATGGAGCTACAGACGTGTATCACCCACAGATATTGCAGAGACAGCCTCAGGACCCACAGTACTCACAGCAGGGTCGTACCCCGGGGACTCAAGGTCCCCACCTCTCCCTGTTGTCCTGTGTTTCTGCTTTGGTTTCTTCCTGGCCGTGGGAGAGCTCTTTCAGAGGTTCAGATGGGAATAGCAGGTGAGGGGTAAGAGGACACATGAGAGATTAGCGAGCTTCCAAGGTGGTCTAGGAGGCCATCGCTCCCTCAGTGAGCAACGCTCACCAGCCACCAGAGGTTCTCCGGTCTGCAGGCTCTGGCCCGAGGGGACAGAGCTCCTTTTGTTCCCATCTTACCTTCTCTACTTTATTCTAGGCCACCTACTTTTGGGGGCAGACTGGGTAGGGCACTTACAATGCTGGGTGGCTCTGAAGTAGGGCAATGCCTGAGATGAGATTGATGCCTTAAATCAGCTCAAACGGAGCTATTAAGAAGAAAAAGAATAAATACGATCATGTTTTCAAAAAATGGCCCAGATGGCTGACACCCTGATTTAGAGGTGAAAAAAGGATAGGTCTCTAACCATGAAAGCTAGTTGTTTCTTAGGCCCACAACAAAAGCAGCTTTCTGACCTTCCTTGGGAAGGCATGTGGAGAGGCCCCTTGATGTGCACCGTCTGCAGCGATGGGCCCCCAGGGCCAACAATACCAGATGACCCGCCTTTGCTGAAACACACACCTCACTGCTCCCAGAATCAGTGGACAGACAAAGGGAGTGCTGGATGGAAAATACAAAGATCCTTCTGAAACCAGTATCTAATTCTTTGATTGGAACCCAACCTTAAATCAATGTATATTTCCCCAAAAAGAAAAAATAGAAGGAACACCTCCTGGCCCCTATTCCCTCCAGGCCACTCTCTATCTTAGCTGATCTCTGATTTTTCAATCGGTGCTACTTTCTTCTGTAAGGTTCGGGGCACAGACATCATGCATCTGAAAAGACTGGCTGTTACAGTGAGTGCCAAGAGAGGCTGTCACTTGCCAACAAAGGCAGGAGGTATAAACCCATAAAAGTCACAGCACTTTACACAGTGTCATTAGAGGACAGGATTTGCTGCTGCCAAAAATGCCACAGCCCTGAGCAGACTAGATAAATCTGTGACTACTCATGACCTTTGTCACCTTGCTTGCTGGGACATGGGGTATCCACCCACTGGTCACTGAATGAGCGGCAAGGCAGACAACAGGTCTCACCTGACTCTTTTCTGCCGCTGCACCCGCTCACTGTTCTGCACAGAAACCCTGAGTGCCTCAGAGCACAGCAAATAGCCTGGTCTGCATGGGAAGGACACCAATGGGCTCCTAACACAGAGGAAGGAAGCCAACAAAGCCAACCCCTCCAATCTATTTTTTAAAATCCCTCAACTCAGATGGGATGGTGGGCTGACACCCTGGAGGAGGTGAGGAGCCGTGGAGAGAGGCATGTGGCCCCAGGTATGACACCCAGGTAGGGGACAGCTGGCTCATAGCCAAGAAGACATGCTTGTTTGTCCTGAGCAGCCTCGGGCATGGGTGGAGTCTGATGTCTGTGACTGCACCCCTCAGGTGGCCTTTCAAATACTCGGTTGAGTGGAGCCATTTCCTGGGTCTGTTGAGAGAAGCTGTTCTCCCCAATCTCCTGAGCTGTTACAAAGTTTGCTTTCCCAGCAGAGGAGCCTTCTCTTGTGCTCCTCACTCAGCCTCAAGGCCAGCAAAATCCCACCTGTTCCGTTTGTGCCTCACAACGCTCTCCCTGCCCCTGCCCTGGTGCACCGCCCTGTGCTGCGAGGACACACTACTTTGCTCGCCCCGACTCTTCAATTAGACCTAAACTCCCTGAGGGCAGGCCTTCTTTGCCTCCCCACCAGTCCCCGTTCGGCCCTTATTGAATAATAAGGACTCATCTAATACCAGTGAAGTGAGTAAAATAAAACCCAGTAAGTAAATAAGTAATAACTTGGAGAGATGCTAACTCTCTTCCTTGGTATGTTTATGAACCAACAGTTTATACTTTAGATAACAACCTCTCTGTTTAAAGCTGGGGAAGTGGGTAACACTCTAACTGAGGCAGATGGCGAGGTAGAGACCACAGGGTCCTCAGCAGGACCTACCACCTTCTCTCCTCCGTACCTGTTTGAGCGGAGGATGCTGTTCCTGGATTACCTGAGGAGTTTTCCTCAGCTCTTCACTTAGAATGACTATTAGTCACCGATAGAATTCAGCTCTACCTTTCTGCTTTCCTGATGCCTTCAGAGACTCAATTTCTATATTTAGTGAAAAGAGGTGGCTTTTTGGAGAAATAATGGCATAGGGGAGAAAAGTGGGGTAAAATCTGAGTTACAACCTGCCTGGATGCAAAAGGCCTTTGTCATAAACAAGGGATATTTCAGCAGCACTGAGACCAGAGATGAGTGGCTGTCCTGTGGGGGGAGGGGGGAAGAGAGAAAGAGAGGGAGGGAGAGAAGGAGAGAGGGAGGGAGAGAGGGAGAGAGGGAGGAAGAAAGGGAGAGGGAGGAAGAGAGGCAGAGAGGGAGGGAGAGAGGGTAGAAATATCTTCCAGCATGTCCAGACACATGTGGAATGACAAGACAGAGTGCAGTGTCGACAACTGACTTATGAAAAGTTAAAACATCACATTTTTGTTCCCAAGGCCTCCTGCTGAACCCAAACTAATTCAGATCCTACAGAAGACACTATTTGTGATTCTAAACATATTTCCTTTATATGATTTCTCATTAAGTATTCTTTCTAATCTTATTTTTAACCGCAATTGCTAATATTTTTAAATCAGTGGAAGAACTGATCATGCAGAAACCAGTGGAGGGGCAATGGGTGTTGGAAAGAAGGTGACCCCTATGGCGGCAGGGTGGGGAGGAGCATGAGTCCAGGAAAACACAGAGCAGAGTGCTTTCCACTGTGTCACATGGCAGCAATATTCCTGGGGCCCTCGATCAGAAGGGCTTTGGGGGAGAAGTCAACGTAATCCTCTTAATGAAGAATTATTCAGGTATCTGGACGCCTAAAGACCTGGAAAAGTGTAATCTTGTGTGGTGCCTGCTCTAACTGCCGCCTCCCTTTGCACAGTTCTCACATGTGACCTCTTCCATGTTACTCTGTTTGTCATGAGCATGGATGGCGCTATTTTTTAAAATTGATTTTAGAGAGAGAGGAACAGAGAGGGAGAAAGAGAAACATCAATGTGAGAGAGAAACATCGATCAGTTGTCTCCTGTACACACCCCAACCCGGGATCAAACCCCCAACCTGGGTACCTCCACTGACTAAGAACCAGACCCACAACCTTTCGGTGTATGGGATGACCCTCCGATCAGCTGAACGGAACTGGCCAGGGCTGGATGGAGCTATTTCAAGTGCTGGACACAAAGTCAGCACTGAACAGATAACTGATTGATGTTTATCTATTTAATTGTGATCTGGTTATAATGTGGAAGGGATAATGCTGAGCTTCAAACTGACCTCCAAAATGTATATACACGCTTTGAATAATTATAAAGGCAGTGTTTATTAAAATGCATTTTATTTTCAAAATTGAGCTATCAGCTATTAAAATGTGTATACATTTTGGGGGGGATACCCTGTATGAGAACCTTACAGATCATCTTGATCTAGCAGCCTGATATCTTCAGTAAGGCACATGGCTAAACGATATAAGACAAGTAGTGAAATATTTGCAGAAGGCTAGGGATGTTAGCTTAAAAAACCAAACACATCTGAAAGTAGAATCAGAAACCAATGGTCATGCCATACAACCCTAGATTCCTCCCTCCCTTGGTGCCAAAGAAGGCTGGCACTTTTTATGTGATCACCTCTCCTCCCTAGTTCATAAGAGGTGTGGACATTCTAAGAGTAAATGGAGAGGCTTTGGCTTAAGAAGCCATTTCCCAAGGAAACCACACCCCGTGCCTGAGTTTTGTCTTAGTTCCCAAATTTCCATATCCTGTCATCTGCAGGCCTCTAGAACAGGGCACTAGGTACAGGAAATGTTTTAAGCTAATTGTTCAGCTAGTTGGGGCCTCAACCTAGTGTGTGGCCAAAGGTTTAATAGCTGAGGAAATATTCAAGTCTTACTTGACCAAGTTTGATTTTACTTTTAGTCCACTAACTCTTTAAAATCATAACAACAGGATAAAATAATGGATGTCAAAGAAAAAGAGAAACAGACTCAGTATTGTCCACAGCAGGAGGCAAGTGTCTACTGTTTGCTACTGGTGACCTCCTAAGTTCCTTCTATGCCAGGTGGTATCTAGTGATTGAATCAACTGCTTCTTTAGTGCTGCAATGATCTAGTCTCTCCCTAGGAACCTCTAACTAGCTGTTCAGTGGTTCAGAAGGAACCCAGCTCTGGGTTTCCATTTACTGCCATACTTCAGGGGTGGGGAACTTTTTTCTGCCAAGGGCCATTTGGATATTTATATCATCATTCTTGGGCCATACAAAATTATCAACTTAAAAATTAGCTCTGAAGCCAGGCCAGGCGTGGCTGAGCGGCTGAGCATTGACCCAGGATACAGGAGATCATGGTTTGATTCCCGGTCAGGGCACATGCTGGGTTTCGGGCTCAATCCCCAGTCAGGATCGTGCAGGAGGCAGCCGATCAATGATGACTCATCATTGCCGTTTCTCTCTCTCTCTCTTTCTCTCTCTCATTCTCTCTCTCTCTTTCTCTCTCTCCCTTCCTCTCAATAAATATATTTAAAAAA